TTATCTCTGGTCAATATGTTGTTCTCATTTGTCTGGCTAATGAAGAGCTGACCTTTCTAAGTGGATGCATTTTGCCGAAATGACAACTGCCAGAGAGCTAACAACAAAGGCTGAGCTCTGAAGGCAGTTTTGGCCTTTCAGATCCCTTTGGCATATTTTAGTCAATAGGATCCCTAGCTCAAATGTCAACCTCCACGTCGGCTTCCACGTTACTGAGCTTGGAGAAACTCAACAAAAAATGGGCAGTATGGGACCAACCTGCATCCTGCTCATGAGAACCAGACTTCCCTTGGAGGTATGTCGCACATTCAAGATGACCATATGAACCCAGTATTCAGCCTGGCAGGGGCACTGGAACATTCTAGCTCCACACTCAGCTGGTGTGAATTTATGCTGCCACTCATGGAGCAGATGAAGATGGAGGTGTCAGATGGCCTCCTCCACACACACGGTGCTGGGACTTTGCTATCTGCCTTGCCAACTGTGCTTGTATGAGAGCAGCTACTCCAGAAATACAGGGCCTGGACTCAGCCCTTTGGCATGAGAGTCCATTGCCTTTGGTGGAGATCCTGGGAAAACAAGAGTGCCCTGCAGCACAATTGCAGTCATGACACCCTTCTGGAGACCCCCCTCCCATCTGAGTCTTATCAAGCTGCAGTGAAACACAGTCCTGCTTCTTTACTTTTTTTTCCTTGTCTCTCATTCCTTTCATTTATCATTTCCAAGCACCCACGGGGCTCCAGACTCTCCTTAGTCCATTTCCATTTGACTCCCTTAAGATTTCTACAAGAAAGAGCCAAAAGGCCTGAAATGCAGAAGGGAGCAAACTATTAAATACACGGGGGACCCCGTGAGATTGGGTCTTTCCAACTTGCTTGGCTTCACAGTGAGTCGCGTCCCCTTTCCAAATATCAGCTTCTCATAGCTGCCGCGCGCTCCTTGCCTCGGGGAGTTTTACAGCGACTGACAGAAGGAATTTTATGAATCTTAAAAAAACAGTCAAGTTTCTCTCTGTTCCCAGTGGGGTGCGGTAGCAAACACACCAAAGCCAAATCTTTCTATCTGTTCTAATTATCAGCAAGGATACAAGTCACCACGAGGAGAAAGGTATTAAGCCTTGTATCTGAAACTCTTTGGATTTAATTGTAATCCCTTGCCTGGTGGTTTCAGCGATAGGGACTGGACACAGTGGATGCTTATTTTTGTCTCCCCTTCCTCCCCCCACCCGCTTTGTAGTTTTGCAGCTATAGAAGCAGTAGGAGACGCGCAGCAAACATAGAGGGATTTGAAATAAGACCACAGATTCCCATCCAGTTTTCATTTTTTCCTTCTCTGCTTTCATTTTAAACCCATCCTGAACTGAATCCCACGTACCTATTCAAACTCTGCTCTCAATTATTCCTCTTTACTGTGGATGATACCGGTGGAAATAGCCTCAGCTGCACCGGGAAGAATTTAAGATTGACAGGAGGAAGAAATTTCTGACAGGGAACCGTATTAGACATAAAAATGGGTCACTCAGAAGAGTCAGTTGGAAAGGGTGCCCCTGCCTCTAAAGAAAAAAAAGCTAGGATATCACCTGCAGAGAAGGCCCTGAAAGCAGAAATGATTCTTTGTCTTTCCAGGGTCAAGATCAGCTGTACTTACAGTGGGGAGACAGACCTAATGGCTCTGAGTCCAAAAGGGAATCTACACATATTGAGATTAAAGAAGAGAGAGGACCTCGGAGGACACTACTTTACTTCAAGCAATATCTGGTTCCCAGGCAACAAACATTTCTTTTAAACCTAGCACCAGTGGTGAAATTCCAGAATTTTCTAGTATTCTGCTGAGTCCTGTTACACTTACTTGGATGGACAGTCAGGATGGTCCCTTGTCCAAATGTCAGCTTTCCATAGCCAGCACCACCAGAGTTAGCACTGCAGTACAGGCCATTACAAGAACCCCAGGGGGAGCTCTGAGGCCCACAGACATCGTCCTCCTTTAGTTCTGGGGAGAATAAACTCACTCAAAGGGGCCTGGATCTGTGAGGCTGAGTTTCTTCCCACTGAAGGTCAGAGGGCCACGTCCGTGTCTGGTCCTGGGTCACTGGTCTGCTGCTCTCCCCCCGGGCCCACCTCCCGCCTGTCTCCAGCTCCTCTGGTGTCTGTCCTGAGGCTTACTGATTTCTCATGTTCAGCAGCTCTCTTTCTAAAGGTCTCATTTCCATTTTACAGCATCATTTTCAAGACAATTTCTCTGATCAGTTTTCAAGACATGTCCTCCCCTCCCCTCGAGGTGTCACACAATTCTGATGACAATGAATTGATTACAAGGAGACAAGAGGAGACTGTTCAGCTTTTTGGAGGCTGACTAGAATTAGATGAGGTTTAGACACCAGCCTCATGAAACACTGTCTCCTGAGCTTCCCTTCATGCCTTAGCATAAGAAATGAAAATGATGGGCACATTTAACTGAGCTTTCACACAATAGGGCTTTTTTTTTTTTTGTCAGTCTTGAACCCAGTGGAATGTAAGCAGTGGCTCCGAGAAAGTTTATATCTGAGCCTTGCTATGGTGATTTCCTGGGGACCACTCTGGATTTAGCAAAGAAAGACCTTTGTCCTGGGAAGCCCCTTGCCTGAGGTGTCCTGACCTCACAGAGCAGTCCAGTGGCCACAGTGGTAGAGTTGACTGAGGTCTCTGTAAGAGGCAGGCTCTTGCATATTTACTTGGGGTGGCTGTCAGTTTCACTCTTGACCAAACAAAGCTTCTGTTGCCGGCAGTCACAGCCACAGGGCTCCTTGGCTGTGTCTGCTGGATGCCATCAAAGATGGGCAGAGCAAGATTCAGGCAGTCTTATCACATGGTAGGGTGGTGATTAAACCCTATCCCCAAAGAGTATAAAAAAAAGATTTTTTTCCTTATCTTTAATTGAATTCAATTTTTAAACTCTAACTCATTTTGACTGAATTTCTGCTAGCCTCTCTTAGTCATCTCTACAAGCAACCACTCATTAGCAAAAGGTTGAAGTGTTAGCCTGCTTACTACCATGGAGAGGCTGAGAGAAAAAGGCTATTATTTAGCTGAGAGGAAGTACCCATCTCCTCTAAGGACAGCAGTCAGGGATTTAAACAACCCTTCCTGTCTCTTTGCTTTTTCACAGCATTCACTGTCTAAAGAGCTCCCTGCCCTCCACTTCAGCCTCCACAGGTCACAAGCAAACGCCTGCCTCAGCCGAAGCCCACAAACGGACAGGCACTACAGTGTTGCTGTGGCAATAATCTCTATGTTCTGCTGATTGCAGGGAAACAGAATTTAATCATGGCTTCCTCGGACCCTAGCCTTGCCTTGTAGCCCCTGCATAGAAAGAGTCCACTGCATGGAAAATCCGCCAGACGATTCCTGTCCAGGGCTCTGGAGGAATGCTTAGCCTGCACAGATATTTTCTTTGCCTCTTTAGGCTGTCAAACTCCCTGGCCTTTCCAGTGTTTTAAAGTGTGAGGGTTGTTACAAGTCTCTGTCTCCCAAGAGGCCAGCCAAGTGCTGAGAGGGTCTCCCAGCTTCTCTCTGCATTCTAGAAAACTCGCCTCAGAGCCCTACTCTAGTGTATTTCCAGTCAGACACCAAAGATAAAACGTACTGTCTCCTGCCTTGGCTGCCCATCCTCTGAAAAGCAACCGAGTCCTTGAGTCTCCTGGGATGTTTGTACGAAACCCCTTGAAGCTCTAATTTGATAAAACCTCAGAGACTGCTGAACGCACGGGATTTTACAACATCATATATTATTTATTGTTTCTGTTGTTGCAGACTTGCTGATTGCCCCTGCTGAGAGAGGCACTTCTGCACATGAAAACTTCATTGCATGTTCTTTAGGTAGGGCCTATTCCAGAACATCCCATGCTGTCTGCTACCAGGGCTGCACTTACCCTTAACACTGCGTGGACTGTGTCACTGGATCATTGCCAACCCTTCTCCAGTCTTTTTAAGAACTTTGCCTGGACTGTGTTTTCTGGACTGCACCTCCCAGTCTGGCATCTTCTCTTAATCAGAGAAAGCCAATCTGAATAATGGGAAATCTATCTAGCCTTTACCAAGCATCCAGGGCACTTAGCTTACACCAAAAAGAGACTAGAGCCCTTCAACAAATTTTTCCCATTTTTACTTTACCTGAATTTTATAACAAGTCATTTTCCCCCAGCTTTGGTTTATTAGTCCACCAGCAGCACAGATTTTCAAGAAGTGCCAATGGCAACCACAGTTCCTTACTTTTACATATACCATTTTTTAACTTTTTCAAGTACTCACACAGACATTATTCTCATTAGGGAAGGGTGGGTGTATATTTGAAGAAGAGAATGTACTGCTCTATTCTCATGACTCAGAAGACAGAAGAATTTTTTTTTCCCTCTCAGGTGAACTAAATAAAGTGGAGGCTGCTTCAATTATTTTGGTAACCAAGGAAAAAGTGGGGTTAAATGCTCTGCCTGAGTTAACCAGACAATTCCTCCCCTGGAGACCTTAGTTACTGGATTGGGGATTGAGAACACTTTCTTGAAGAGAGATAAAGTGAAGGTAAAAGAAGAATTCTATCTGCCTTTAGAATTTTTAGCATTAGTTAAGGAAATTGCAGGTTCCCATTATTCCAGGAGATAAATTTAGGGGCTTTAGTATCTTTGTCAGGAAAATTTATATTTGGTCTACTGAATTTGCATAGTCACAATATGCCAATTTCTTCTCTATCTTTTTGGCAAACATTCCCTGACCTTAGCTAAATCCCTCAGGATCCTGTATTCAATTTTTCTCCCTGCACCAATAATCTTGTTTAAGATGGATGATAGGAATGTTTTTGGCTGAAAGTAATTTAGTCTTTGTACAACGGAGTTCTAATCCCTCTAATGGGGACCATATAGCCCCAGTACAAACATTAGATTAGAAAGCTAAATTGTGATGTTTTGGAGGGGCAAGTAATTTAAATTAGAAGTTTTTGAATACTCTCCCAGCCACCCCCTTCAAACTTACTTGGATTCACAGTTAAGAGAGTTCCTTTTCCAAATGTTAGTTTATAGCTGCTGCTTCCACTATTCTCACAGCCAGGGGAGGCTTTACAAAAACAGGAACAGGAGCTGCTCTTTGTGGAAAGGCCCTGGGGGGGTCAATATGGTCTTGATCTCTCAACCCTGCACTCAAACTACAGGTTTATAGGTTATTTGATAATAAGTCCAGAAGGCACCTACTGTAGGTGGGAGCTGGGCTTCCAGAGGGCAATGGAGCCCTGATAGATACATGAGGGCTGTCTGAAAAGTATCCAGCCATTGTTAATATAACGAGAACAGTTACACGGCTGGGTACTTTCCGGACAGCCTATATATATGTGCATGTATATGTATTACATTTTTCAATTTAAGTTTAAGTTTTTTATTGTTCTTTTTATGACTAAACTGCCACCTTGGTTTTAGTAATACATTTCTTTTTTTCTTTCATTCCTAATTGTCTTCCCCTGGTTGGTACGCACATAGTTTCCACTTTATCACACTCTATTTCTCTGCTTTTCATTGACATTGCTCACATCAACCCACTGGATTTCCAGTTTACTGGAAACTGATTGCAGAAGAGGATGAGAGCAAGGGAATTTTAAATAGACACAGGTTTAAAGTTAGAAATGTGAGGGCTTTCCCATCTTTCCCGGTCTGTTTCTGTATCATGGACTAAGTAAGCAAAATGAGTATTTGTCCGGCAAGGACAGCTGGCAGGATGTGGCCCAGAAAGGAAAAGGCTGCAGGGAGCCGCATGTCGCTTCACCCTTTCTTACTTACTCAGGTTAACGGTCAGCCTGGTTCCTTGCCCAAATACCAGCGTCTGGGCGGCACTCCCTGAGATACACCGCAGCGCACAGCTTTACAGAAACTGCAGACGCGCCCAGCCTCTCCCTGCCCAGGAAGGAGCCTGATCTGCTCTCCTAGCCCTGCAAACCTGCGGTGGAGAATGGCCCGAGTGTCACTAACCAGAGGAGCTCAGGACAGGGTCTCCTTGGAGCTGCCCGTTTTCTCCTTCACAAAGTCTGCTTTAGCAGTCGTAGACATGTGCCAGCCTTTTCAGTTTCTTTGCCAGTCAAATATTTAACATCTTTATTTTCACTTCATAGAAGTCTAACTTTTTGAAAAACCTTTCCTTCAGCCTTTTCAGAGCTCTCCCTAAAAAAGGCTGGATTAAAAGAATCTTTAAAGTCAGAGTACACTGGGTCTCTCGAGTGAAGTTAAGCTGGCTTCCTCCTTAAAGTTTCTGGTTTGAATCTTAGGGCCTGCTCGTCTGGGACCTAATTTATCGGGCTAAGACAGGAAAGGTTAAAAGGCAATGCAGAAAATCCAGTGGAAATCCTGTTCCCTGCGACCTTCTTGCCCTTCTGCACTTACTCGGATTTATTTTTGTGCTCACACCTTTCTACCCAGCAGGGGCACGAACAGGGAGCCATCCTCAAAACCAATTCTGGGAGACACCTACACACAGGAAATTTAGTGGAGAAACAAACAAAGTTTCTTCTGCTGCTCGGGGAAATTTGATTGAAAAACAATTTTTAATTTTGCAAAGTGAAGATTAGGAGAAAAATCTGTTTGCTTCTGTTCCTCTCCTTCCTCCTCCCCCTCCTCTTCAATAGTTTTAAACTATTTATAGATACATCCCCTTTAGGGTTAGAGAAATGTGGCAAGTTTCTAATCTTTTCATCCTTTTTCTTGCTATCTATTTACTGCAGTCAAGTATTTACAATCTAAATTTACATTTCATTTCCATTTGCAGGAGCTTCTAATACACTTTTCTATTACTTCCAGAACACTGTGTATAATGATAAAACTCTACAGAAATAAACCAAATCACAAGGAGTTTTTTCGATCTGGAGGCTGACATTTCTCAAGACAGGTCTGGGGCAAACAAGTTATTATTACTCTTTCAGGCAAGACCAAGATAGGGCCAGTCCGGCCACCTGAGCAACTAGGCTTGCAAGGTTGACATGTCTAAATAACTATCAACTGAGCTTTGCTCCTTGGGATTAATTTGGATTTTCTTTTTAATCTAGTTCCCAAATATCAGCTTCCCATCTTTTTTAGCTCTTAGAATTTCTCTGACAGGGAAAGCTTAAGTTAAATCTTCATGGATGTTTTTTGAGTCTTAACCGATATTTCATCTCTGTATACATCATATACAGAGGAACCAAAAGAAGGATGAATATAACACCTTTGGGAGGAAATTTATAACAGTTCTTTGGGAAAGATGAGAATTATAAATAAAAAATGGAATTGCATGTGCTTTTTCTGATTATTATTTTTAGTATCTGGAGGACTGTAAATATGCAATACAGTTTGTAAACATAGCAGCCGACTCACCAGCTCCTTAGACTCCTGTTAGCCACCGGGCTCACAGGTCAGCATGGAAATGCTTTTCTATCATAGACTGTTTTAGGCATAAAGACTTTAGGGAGGTCATGTCATGCTAACAGAATATCTACTAGGACATTTTGATTCTAGCCTTTCTAATGGGGAGAATAATTTGGCCATGAAAGTATAAGTTTTATTTTGAGGTACCCATTGAGTAGTTGGTATCTTTTGGAAATTATAAGCAAAAGTTAAACCCCAAACAATTGTTTGGAATGAGATTCCATTGCTGTAGAGAATAGAAATTTGCTCATGAAGCAAAATTTCAAGTACATTCAAGTAAGTTGAAATAAGGTTTGTTTTGAGAATAGTAGGGCAACACTCAAAATGTCCCTCTGGGTATGGCATTTGCATTGGGGAATCTTTCTCTCACACTCCCAAACTTAGTTGCCACTTTTTCAATGAGGGGCATAGAAATGAGTGGGTATCAAAAGGATCTTCTTTGATGCGGAAGCTCAGCCAAGGCAGGGATGAAAATGGTCTATGAGGACCCAATTAGAAATATAGTGGTTAACAGCATCCTGGGGCATGTTTTCAGAAGTTCACGATCTTTCTGACTAATTTGAATATTTGCTTTCAATCTTACCTTTTGCTTAAATACCAGCTTGTTGGCAATGTCAGTACCAGAAAATCTTACATAGCTTTACGCAAGTAGCTTTGCTCTAAGATTTTGAGATTTATAGGGTCTAGACAACTCTTTTTCCTAATTGCATCAGTATGGAAGCCTTGGGAAGACAAGGTCATTCGGTTGTTTATATCATTAGGCTACACCTCACTGTCTCTTTCTGGGTCAGGTTGCATTGCACACTCCCTGCCATTGCTATATACTTTAGTCTAATCTTCCTTTCCATTTCCCCTTCCTTTCTAAATGCTTTCTGCCCCTACACACTAAAACTTCAATTCAGTTTCCATTTGTCAGACACACACGTCCAAGATTAACCAAAACACACTTAACATTCCCAGGTGCTTAAAGGTGTTGCAGAAACCTGTCCTGAAGGGGCTCCAGGCAGGGGCTGTTCAGATTGTCATTTGCACCAGAAAGACCCATGGTGACAGATGCTCATAACTAGATGGGTGACTCAGCTATCTTTCACTGAATTTCTAAGGATGGTGGCTTATGTTTGGAAACAAATAATCTTCATTAAAACATACCTGGTCTGACACTCAGAGTTGTTCCTTTCCCAAACGTCAGCTTATTATTGACTCCTGTAATCACACAATGACACGAGACTCTACAAAAACTCAGTTGCCCAAACTCCCCTTGATACCTACTGACATCTTTACTTGTCACCCAAGAACCCCCCTGATAAAACCAGCTCTTTAAAAATAGTGAGGAACTGGAGGAAGAGTTTATGGACTACCTTGGGCCTTCCTTTTCCCCCCTGCATTTATTGTCACTTTACTGGACATGTGCCTATATTCCCTCATAGCATACCTGCTTTGATAAAGCGGGAGCAGGAACACCCTCCCGCCACCAACGCATTTTACAGAGGAGGAAGATAGAGGCTCAGAGTTAATTGATTTTCCCATTGGAAAATTGATAGTCCCACTGGAAACTCCACCAATTATAGTAGCAAATCCAGCTTTCTAACAGTCTGTCTCTTAGTCAAATGCTCCACTAGCACGATCGTTCTCACCTATTGGATAAAATAGCATGTGAGGGTAAACAGCAGGCCCTGTCTGCAGTAGGAATACATCAGCAGTTGTTTGAGTTGAAAGCCATTAATGGGACTGCTGTGGTTTGGACTTGAGTTATAAAGCAGAATGGGAAATTTGGAAATCAGGGTTCCAGAGAGAAATTTTGAAGCAATAGTCATTCAAACTTACTTGGGCTTACTGTCAGTTTTGTTCCTTTTCCGAAGACGAGCTTTTCAGATCCTCCCTGAGTTACACCCCCACAAACTGCTTTACAAATACTGCCAAGGCCCTTCCTCCAGGGCCTGGGAGCCAGGACTCCACCCACGCCTCCAAGAGAAGCATAAGATCACATGAATGTATGGTTATTCCTGAAAGGAGAGAGCAACTATGGAGAAAATGTGAACCCTGTTTTACCTAACAGCCTGTTGGAGTGTTGTCTTATTGATTCATTAAGTAGTTAATTTAGCTGCTTGGCAGTTGCAGTTAATTTGAAAGAGCTCAGGCTTTGGGGTCAGACAGACTTGGGTTTGAAACCCAGGGAAAGCTCCTCAACTTGCTGCCCCTCACTTTTCTCATCTGTAAGGTGGGGAGAATGATAACTGTTTGAAGATGTTGTTGCGAGGGGTAGGAATACATAACTGGGTCACAGTGGTCCTGTTGATCAATCCTTGGCTTTACCTGCTGAGTGCACGCTTCTCAGGAATTATTTTAGCAACCTTAGTGAACAAAGCATCAGTGATTTTTCTCCTAAACATAATCCCCTCACTAATACGCATTTAGCAGTGGAAGCTGAGTGCCAAGAATTAAATTCCAGGTCCTCTTTCTTAGGTCCTCCTGCATCAACTGAAATAAGTTACCAACCTCTCTGTGCTTCTATACAATATAAAAAGTTCTCGTCTATAACGTGAGGATAGTAATAACACCTAACTCACAGAGCTGGCATAAGGATTAAATGTGATAATGGGTAGAAAGCATGCATTACACTGTCTAGCACATGTAAGCAGTCAATAAATTAT